TAATAAAATAAAAAAAATTAGTAATCCTAGCACATTCTCGAAATTTTTAACCGGTTGACTCTGAGATTCGAGCTTTCGACCATCACTAGTGTACCTACACTGCAGGGCTCAACCGTGAGCTGCGCCTAGACACGCTCGACCAAGGGAGACTATGAAGGTTTGTTAGGAAATGTTCCTTGTAACAAACACATGAAATAGATAGGTTTATTATTTTGTAAAACCATCAAACAATTTTTCAGTTGTTTATTATTTATTACAATCTTCATTCAAGTGGACAGTTCATATAAATTTCAATTTTCTCCAAAAAAGTAATTAAGTAACAATGTTGATAAAGTAACATTTTTTAAATTAACTATTCTAATTTTTATTACTCATAATAGTGATTTATATTTTTATTTACCGTAAAATGAGGTAAATTCGGCGTTTGAGGGTAAAGTCGGCCGGCGCGTTAAATCATTTTAAAGTTGAACTATTACTTTTTTCCAGAAGAAATCCGAGTTTTATTAAAAATGTAGTTAGAATTAATGTAAATTAATAAATGAAATACAATATTTAAGTGTTTAAAGCGCCGGCCGACTTTACCCGCAAACGCCGACTTTACCTCATTTTACGGTAATATTTAATAATAGCAATTTATATATATATGTATAATAATATTCTTATAAAAAATTCAATACACTATAACTAAATAAAAATTTAGTTATATTTAGTTATATATTTAGTTATATTACTAAGTCTCAACAAATTGCAAGTCTTATAGTAATTTTTTAAGCAAAGAATTTAAAAATTACTTAAATATAAGACAAAGCAAATATAAAGTTTCTAATAAAAATAAATTATAAAAATGTACGAAATTCAAAACTTTTAAAAGTTCTCAAATTAATTTTAACCTACCAAAAATGACTAAATTTTGCAATTCGACTAATTTTAAGTACTATATATACACTGCAAAAAGAAGTATCTTATTTTAAGATCTTTTGGTAGCGTTTTTAAGACATTAAGTTGTTTAAAATGTTTTGATATTTTGAAAACGTTACTAAAACATCTTAAAATAAGATACTTCTTTTTGCAGTGTAGATTTGAGGAAACTGTATACTAATTCTTTGTTGAAAATCAAATAATTTATGATTCGGTGAAGTTTCAATATCCAATATTATTGAAATTCTAAGTTATATAATATTCAAATATTAAAAAAATTGATGTTGGTATAAAAATTGACAAAATTATATTGCATTATTAATGAAAAAAAATTCAAATAGAAATCTTACAACAAAAAGGATCAAACATTTAATGACATTTGTGACTGAAGTATTACAGAACATTTGTAGATTTGACATAATGTTATAATTCTAGAACAGATAGTTATTAATAATTTTTAGAATAAGACAAGCATTCTGTTCTAGAAATGTCATGTAATAGTCTTTTCAGCACAGTTCTAGAACAGAAGCGGGAAAAAATTTCTAGAACGTTTGGGACATCTATGTTTAAGAACTCTTATACACAGTGGTCCTCAAGCATCGACAGGTTCGACTAAAATGGATCCAAAAATTGACTGAACAAGCTTTTAGAAGACTATTCGTAAATGTAAAAACTGTCGAAAAAACTTAAAATTACATTTTACGAAATGTATTTTTAGCATTGTATTATATACTGTTCAGTAATCAACAATTATATCTGTAATGTTCATTGGTAAACCATTTTAGTGTACAGTACGTACTCACTGAGCATTAGTATATTAGTATTAGTATAGTATTAGTATTAGTGTATAGTAAAATACATACAAAAGCTTGAAGAATAGCTCATTAGATTACTCTTTATAGACTCTAAAACGACTTTGCCTGAAATCAGAATAAATTTTTTTAAAAATATTTTTAACCTGCGTTTTACTATAATTTTTCATATTTTAAGATTACCATTAAGCTTAATTTACCATTTAAGCTTTATTTATCTATTTATATTCAAGTTGAAATTTCATTTATTCATCAATTCATATCAATGTATTTGTACATTAGTTTTGTAACTTCTTGTAACAACTGACTGATTAACTTATAGCTTGAGCGCAAGACCAATTGCTTTTTCTCCATTTTAAAATGAGTTCTCATGAGGAGAACCGGGAGAAAATATGGGCACCATGCAGTCAGAAAATTGCTTTTAGAGAGGTTAAACCAGAAAAGTTCCTTATAAACGAAAAATTAACTAATCTAATTAAAAAATTTATCAATGATAGTTTTAATTTAAATGATGAGAAAATTTTATTGAGCATTTGTAGAACATGCTATCTTACTCTTCTAGATTACGAAAAAGGTATCTTTAAAAAACCCATTTAAATTAAAATTATTGTTGCTAAATTTTTTAATTAGATTAGGTAACTTTTCGTTTATAAGGAACTTTTCTAGTTTAACCTCTTTACACAGAAAAAAGCTGGTGTTATTTTTGTTGCGGGTAATTTTCTCCAATGCTAAAACCCATAAGATTTAACCCAGATTTAGGGTAAAATTTGTTGCGTGTTATTTTAACACCAATTCTGGTGTTAAAATAACATTTTGTTTTTCCTGTGTAAAAGCAATTTTCTAACTGCATGGTGCGCATATTTTCTTCCGGTTCTCCTCATGAGAACTCATTTCAAAATAGGAAAAAAGCATTTGATTTTTCGCGCAAGCAATAAGTTAATCAGTCAGTTGTTACAAGACGTTACAAAACTAATGCACGAATACATTGATATGAATGGATGGAATTTCAACTTGAAGAAGCTAAATTAAGTTTAATAGTAATCTTAAAAGATGAAAAATTATTGTAAAACGCAGTTTAAAAATATTTTGAAAAAAATTGGTTCTGATTTTGGACAAAGTTGTTTTAGCGTCTATAAAGAGTAATCTAATAAGCTATTCTACAAGCTTTTGTATGTATTTTACTATAAGTTAAATATACTAATGCTTAGTGAGTACGTACTGTACACTAAAATGGTTTACCAATGAACATTACAGATATAATTGTTGATTACTGAACAGTATATAATACAATGCTAAAAATACATTTCGTAAAATGTAATTTTTAGTTTTTTCGACAGTTTTTACATTTACGAATAGTCTTCTAAAAGCTTGTTCAGTCAATTTTTGGATCCATTTTAGTCGAACCTGTCGATGCTTGAGGACCACTGTGTATAGAACATTTGTTAGAGAATAATTCAAGAACAAATTTCCGGATTTATTCTATAACAAAAAGAGAATATTGTTCTAGAAAGGTGACATAATATTGTTATATCACAATTCTAGAACAAAAAAAGTACAAAAATTTCTACAACATTTGTGACTTAAATGTTCTATAATACTTATGGAACTTATATCTAAGAACAGTTCTGGAGCAAAAAAATAAAACAGTTATGTAACATATTAGGAACATTGGTCTAGAACACTGTTACCATTTGGTTCTATAACTGCTACATGTTATTGATGGCACAATTGTTCTAGAACAATGTTCTTTAATTTTAATAGAACAATTATAGAACGTGTTTGCTGGGAGGGATTAAGATACGTAGACAAAATACGGCTTAAATAATAAAAGATCGAAAACTCAAATTTGTCGAGAGTTGAAATATAAATTTTATGACGTTTCGAAGGTTGTTAACTGTGTGTTGCTTAAACTGAAATTATATAAGGCAATAAATGTAATCTTAAAAAAAATTCTAAGGGGAACACGTTTCGAAAATAACAATTATATCCATAAACAATATACTTAGGGTTCAACAATTAGATATTTTGTTTTATTTTAAATATGACAAATGATTAATTTAATAAATAATTATTAATAACATAATTTCATATTTAATAATTAGTTAATTAATTTTTTTAACGAAAATTTGACAACAAAATTATTTGTAGACAAAAAAAATATTACGATAGAAAAAATAATTTTTTTGGCAAATTTTAGTAGAAAAAAAATCAATTAACTAATAATTACGTCAATTAGTTAATTGATTTTTTTACTACGAAACTTCAACAAGAAAATTATTCGTTGCACAAAAAAATATCACGATGAGAAAATAATTTTTTCTTCAAAATTTTTCTGTAAAGACATTAATTAACTAAATAACGTAATTATTAGTTAATTAATTTTTGTACTACGAAAATTTTTCAAAAAAAATACTTTTTTCATAATATTTTTTTTGTTAACAAATTTTTTTTTCAAGTTTTCGTTGAAAAAACTATTTAACTAATTATTAAATATGACATTATATTATTAATAATTATTTATTAAATTAATTATTTGTCATATTTAAAATAAAATAAAATATCTAATAAAATCAAATTTTTCAAATCTTCCCGCGCTGCGCTGATGGCTCAGCTCTGGACTTTAGTACGTTCAACGCGACAGGGATGGCGAACATCACTGTTTCTCGCAGTTGAGGTGCGACTTGATTAGTATATAAGCAGTGACCTAAAATTTTTTCTCGGCGAAATTTTTTTCTGCCCGATGTCTCTTCTATTTATTGGGATGTGAGACAAACTTTTTTTTGGACGAAATGGTTTCACTAATACTGTGATGACCATTTTTAAATTTAATGTATTTATTAAAAATAAAATAATAATAATAACTATTAAAAAGATAATAAAAATAAAAAAAAAATTATATTAATTGATTTTTTAAATTATTATTAAAATTTTTAATATTGGCTAATTATTGGTTGCCAATAATTTGCCAATGATGGTTCCCAATCATTGACATTGGCGTGGGCAGTCTATGACTTTACCAATAATGTCCATTATTGGGTATAAAATAAAATGTTATTAAATGTTATAAAATGTTGTATGATACACGTGCACTTGTATCATTAATAACTATTTTATAATTAAAATTTAGTTGGGACAATTAGATAGTTTGTTTAATATTTGTGAAATAAAATTGTAAGAATGAGAATTGTCGTGAGAATAAGTATAATATTTAATGTTGTTAATGTAAATAAAAATTAAATAATTGTTGATAAATAAATAATTCTAACGTACCGAAGGATGGTCGCCTTTGACATTTTGGAGTTGTTTGTTTTGTGGCCCTGCGACAGGAGTACGTGGTTCACCACTTGTTCCTCCTGCTGGAGATTTACTACCTGGATTACCGGAACCTGTTGTTCTGAAAAAACAAAGATTTCATAAATGCAAAACCAATAATGTTTTTATTAAAAACATTAGAAATAATTTAAATTCCTTTTTTATGTTAACTGACAGATTTTTAAAAATAAAAAAGCAGAAATATCCATTCTGCTTTGCTCTTGAGATTATGAATTTTCGAAGAAGAAAAGTACACGTTTTTTAAGCACCATTTTCACAATGGTCTATTTTGGTACCATGTAACATATTTAATAAGAGTCCTATATCGAGACCCCGAATTTTTTTCTATACTCCTTAACACAGAAAAAACCTGGTCTCAAAATGAGCAGCGTACGCTACTCATTTTGAAGTGCACCAAAAATGAGCCAGGTTGGTGGCGCCACTGTCTATGTCGTTTAGCATTGGCTCATTTTGAGTTGCGTTTTGTAACTGGACCATAAGTGCGAAAGAGATGAAGATATATGTTTGTCTTTTTTGCACTTATGGTCTAGTTTAAGAGAACTAGACATCACAGTAGGAATAGTAGGGAGACCAATCTGTGCTTTACAGAAATAATTAAAAAACCTGCACGAAAAGTGCCATATTCTCTGTAGTCTATAACAGCTAGTGTTCTAAAGACAGTAAATTACGTCAAGAAGAGAAAGAAGATTACGGTAATTTACCGGTAAATTACCGGATCGTTTTTTCTCTGAGAATTTATGAGAATTTTTACTTGTACTTTTATCCTTGTCTGACATGTGCGTTGTCATGACAACGTGTATGACGAGGATAAAAGTACAGACATATGTTCCTGACTGTACAATTATTATTATAATGAAAAATATCTTTGTTACAATATATAATATATATATATTAATATATTAATATTGATATAATATTACATTATTATATTGAATCAGGTACATTTATATGCCTGCACTTTTATCCTTGTCTAACACACATGTTGCCATGACAACGCACGTGTTAGACAATGATAAAAGTGCAGGCATATATACCCGACTGTCATCTTGTCAGTAAGAACACAGAGAAAATTAGGGTGCAGTCCCATGGAGCAGATTAGCAGATTAGACGTTGACCAATAAAAAAACAGTCTCTAACGGAAATGCAAAAATTTGCCGCGAGAGACTAAGGCTGCAGTTCCATGCCAGCGTTTTGCGTTGCGTTTTGTCACTAGACCCTGAGTGTAAACATAGCAAACATATATCTGCATCTCTTTTACACTCATGGTCTAGTGACAAAACGCAACGCAAAACGCTGCCATGGGACTGCAGCCTAACTTTTGATTGGCTGAAATCTATTCTGCTAATCTGCTCTATGGGACTGCACCCTTACAGTCTATTATATTCATTGTTCAAATTATTCATTTAATAACATGTCGGTCGTTTATTTATAACTTACATACTATAAAAATACATATTTAAATTTAAAAAAGGCAATTATCAATCACTTAAATGAATATTCTCATATATTCTCATAAATTCTCTTTTTTCGGTAATTTACCGCAATTTTCTTTCTTACCTTCTCAGGTTTCAATTTTACCGAGAATTTTAAAACACTAATAACAGCACTCCTTAAAATATTGATCATGCGCATTGGACTTTAATGTTGACAGCTGTGTAAATAAAAAAAGTGGTTATGTTCTCCATGGTTATTTGAAACCAAGAAGACTAGAGATAGAAGGAATAACTGCGGTATATTCCTACAGAGAGCGATGCAAAATCTGAGAAATCTTATGATTGGTTGCCATCATCCCTACTACCGCACACTGCTCTAATAAAAATTTAGTAACTTTATAGTAACTTTTAATTTTAACAATAGAATCACTAAATTTACACTAGAGTAGGCGGCGGTAGTTGACGAAAATTATGACAAATGGTGAGTGGGTAAAAATAGAAACCAACTGTAATATATATCTTTATAAAACAAATAACATTTAATTTTCATAGAATTAGTAACAAAAGATCACAAAAAAATGAAATATCATAATAAATAAAACATATAAATGCACAATAATTGTATTTTCAATTCAAATTTTTAATATGACTCGAGTCAAATAAATAATCACAATTACAATTTTATCCAAGTTAAAATACGCATTCACACACAAGTCAAAATATAAAATCAACGTAAAAGAAATAAATTAGAAGAAAAAGGTAACAGTATATCAATATAAATAAAATCGAATAGTGCATAAAATAAAACAATTAACATAAAATACTCATCGCTTTCTTGGCGAGAAAATTCAGAAACGACGTAATTTACATAAAAGAAAACGGAATAAATAAAAGAAACAAATAAATAAAATGAAAATGACGACAAAAGAATTTACACATTTACCTTGAGATACCGTGACAAGATTTCCCCTAGCCCAGCCGATTCCACGAACTCACCACGCTTTTCTCCGAAGTATATAATTATGTTACGGTCAAAGACCGGAATTGGTCATTCTCCGATAATGACCGGTCAATGACATTGTCCTGTAAATTTGAACAATGTTTAAAAATCTTTGACAATGGCCAGTTATTGTTGACAATGTTCGGTCATTGTCGACATTGCCCAGTCACGTTTGGGCAAAGTTGTTAATCATCTTATAAACAGAAAGTAATGAAAGGAAAACTGATTTATTTATTTATTAATTATAACATGACAAGCTACCGTGGCATTTCGAATTATATTTTTTATTTTCTTTCAAGCATTTGCATTTATTCTGCTTACATCGGCTTACATCCAGTCTTACATTTGCACCTCTTATATCCTTGTGCCCCAGAAATGCTGTTTTTCGCAGCAGCTGAACAGCAAACTGATCATTATAAACTTCATTTATTTTGATATGACTGTAATCAATACATTATTGAAGGTTCGATTACAAACGGAATTCTATTAACTTTGTTTATATCATTAACAGCGTATTCTGAGTCTACTATTTCCGAATAATTATTTTTTATTAAATATTAAATTAAATATTAAATTTAATTAATTTAATTACATACTAATTAAATATTAAATAAATAATAATTATTAATTTCAGAAGAAATTATTCATTTTTTAAAATAATAAATTTCTTAATTCAATTTTTTTTAATAATGATCAACTATGCCCAACTTGTACCGGTCTTTGTTGACATTGACCAAGAAAAACACATAATATGAATAATTTTGCACTTTGTCCAAAATTTACACGACAATGACCAACGATTTTGGGCATTGTCGACATTGACCGGTCATTATCGGAGAATGACCAATTCCGGTCTTTGACCGTAACATATATACCTTTATTAGACCCTCGGAACACTTACAACAAAAAATACCAACCCTTGGATAATAAAACCTTTTATTTGTTAATGAGGATTAACTCTGTGGATCCAGGTAATAATTTATTTCTCCCTCTATCACATGGAAATCTTTAGAGAAAGTATAAAACTTGTGAGGTAACGCTTTTGGTAACGCTTCAGGTAACCCATATCTTCTCACACCAAGAAATGTAACATAAGAATGTCTTTCTCTATCTAATTTGCATATTTACTTGTTTCATAATAGGATAGTATTAAATAATCTTTCATTAATTAAACTTTACTTTTTGGTTTATATCACTGGGGTTTTAAAATATATTAATTCTCAAATCAAGTTGATTTTGAAGTAAAGCCTAATATAAGAAGTTCTTCTAAATGAGATCCAGAAAGACGATTTCTAATATTTGTTAAACGATTGCTTTTAATTATCCAAATAATTGAGAGCTAATATTCGATTTTATCCTCTGTAGCTGCAAATTTGCAAATTTCTTTTATTTTGTCTGTTTTGTTTTGTTTCGAGTTCATTGACTCCACGTGTAGTATATATTGTATGAATTATCACCTTCTTATTTCAGTTTTTAATTTCCTTACGATATATTTCCTATAGTATTTTGGACCGCTGGAACCGAATCTGAGCTCAGAATTGCTCCATCCCCCTCAGTTTTTTTTTAAATCGACCAAAACCACCCTTAAACGGACAAATTCACACTTCGGAGATAAAAAAAAATCAAATTATTTTTTAAAAAAACCGAATTTTACATCTACGAAACTTTGCTCCACTAACTCAAAAACAAAGCCAGCATTGATCCAGCACCCCCTGAATTTTTTTAATCGAAAAAACTACCCCTAATCCGAAGAACCAAATTCAGAAGATAAAACAATAAAATAACTGATTGACAAATTTTATAACCAGAAATTTTTACTCCAGCAATGCAGAAACAAAGCCAGAAATGCTCCCTCACCCTCTAAATTTTTTTTAAATCGAAAAACCACCCTTAAATAGTAAAATTCAAATTTAATAAGTAAAAAATATTAAATTAACGGTTTCTTTAAAAACAGAACCTTACATGTATGTAGTTTTGCTCTACTAACTCAAAAAAATAAAGCCAGCATTGATCCATCACCCTCTGAATTTGTTTAAATCGAAAAAACTACCCTTAATCTGAAGAATCAAACTTAGGAGGTAAAACAATAAAATAACTGATTAAAAAAGTTTATAACTAGGTATCTTTACTCCAGCAATGCGGAAACAAAGCCAGAAATGCTCCCTTCCCCTCTAAAATTTTTTTAAATCGAAAAAACCACCAATGTATCAAACTTAGGAGGTAATACAATATAATTATATTGTATTACCTCCTAAGTTTGATTCTTCAGATTAAGGGTAGTTTTTTCTATTTAAAAAAATTCAGAGGTTGATGGATCAATGCTGGCTTTGTTTTTGAGTTAGTGGAGCAGAAATACATAAATGTAGTAAGGTTCTATTTTAAAAAAGTCAGTTATTTAATTTTTAATCTCCTAAACTTGAATTTGTCCGATTAAGGATGGTTTTTTCGATTTAAAAAAATTTTAGAGGGTGAGGGAGCATTTCTGGCTTTGTTTCAACATTGCTGGAGTAAAAATATCTGGTTATAAAATTTGTCAAACAGTTATTTTGTTGTTTTGTCTCCTAAATTTGATTCTTCAGATTAGGGGTAGTTTTTTCGATTTAAACAAATTCAGAGGGTGATGGATCAATGCTGGCTTTATTTTTTTGAGTTAGTAGAGCAAAACTACATACATGTAAGGTTCTGTTTTTAAAAAAAGCCGGTAATATAATATTTGTTTACTTTTTAATTTTGAATTTTTCTATTTAAGGGTGGTTTTTCGATTTAAAAAAAATTAAGAGGGTGAGGGAGCATTTCTGGCTTTGTTTCTGCATTGCTGGAGTAAAAATATCTAGTTATAAAATTTGTCAATCAGTTATTTTATGGTTTTATCTCCTGAATTTGGTTCTTCAGATTAGGTGTAGTTTTTTCGATTAAAAAAATTCAGGGGGTGCTGAATCAGTGCTGGCTTTGTTTTTGAGTTAGTGGAGCAAAGTTTCGTAGATGTAAAATTCGGTTTTTTTAAAAAATAATTTGAATTTTTTTTATCTCCGAAGTGTGAATTTGTCCGTTTAAGGGTGGTTTTGGTCGATTTAAAAAAAACTGAGGGTGATGGAGCAATTCTGAGCTCAGATTCGGTTTCAGCGACCCAAAATACTATAGGAAATATATTTCTAGTTCAAGAAACAGACAACTTTTTTTTTGTGTGCCTGTGTAATTAGACGTGTTACTAATGTAACTAATTAAATTTAATTTTACTAGGTAATTATTTATTTATATAAAAATAAGAATTTTATAATTTTAATTTTTTTTTATAAGAAGTTTTATGTAGTTTGTGACTGATTAATTTTTTTTAATTTTGTTTAATAAAGTGGCCTGACGATGGTGTCAAACCAAGACACCGAAACGTTGCCAAACAAGTGATTTGTTGTTTTTTTCTCACTGCCAATAATAGAAAAAACTCAATTTCTAATACCAAATTATGAAAGGAAAAAGTATTTAATATTACTCATATTTTTCTGTTTTTGAAAAAACTAAAATTTTTGAAAATCCATGCGAGAGATTCTTAAGGATCATTAAAAAGCGTGGAAAGAAATTGTAGATAAAAAATAGTCAAAATTGTGAAAGAAAATATATATTTAAAATGTTAATTTTTTTAAGACATTAATTTTTAAAGTGGTAAAAAATTAAATCTTATTTTTTTACCATCCTGTATGTTTTTAGATCCCAAATGATGCAAGAAAAAAATATAGCTTCCTACGATCATTAAAATTTAAAGGATTCAAAATAAAGGTCGTGAATCCCCCTAAATGGTCTCTTAAGGTGTTAGAAATAATATCCCATTAATTTTTAGTCGAAAAAAATTGAACTATTTAAAAAAAATTTTTTCGACAGAAATATACATTGCATAGTAAGAAAATTTAATATGATCAAAAAGTGAATTCAGGAAGCGCAGATAATTTTACAAATCACTAGTCGGAAGTTTTTCAGGTCGGCAATTACAAATAAAATGTCAGTTTTCAAAATGTTAAAATAGCGGTTCCAATATGGCGGACAAAAATATTAAAAATTAGACGGAATTTAACGGATTTGTTGCTAGGGGGTTTTTCATTAAAATAGACATTATTGTTGTAGAAACATGTTTAATAGCTTCCTCCAGAGGAAGCAAAACGTTGAAGTGACGATTGTAGGATACGACATTTTATATTTTGAAAATCTGACGTCATATTCGTAGTAAGCAATCCCAAAAATCGCCGAGTAACAAGTTTCAAGCAAAACTGCACATTTTTAAAAAAATTTACGCTATATTGGATCCGCCATTTTGAATTTTAAAGGAAAAATGAAAAACTAACATCATATTTGTAATCAGCGACCCCGAAAATCCCCTAGCAACATGTTTCATGTAAATCCGTTAAATTTTTTATTTTGTCGTCCGCTATATTGGATTTGCCATTTTGAATTTTTAAAAATTGAAATCGGATTCGTAATCAACGCCCCCGAAAACCCCTGAGTAGTAATTTTCGTAAGCATAGTTCAACGTTTTAAAGTTTTAACTTATGTTTTTATGACTGCAAACTTTAAACTCGTTTTTCTCGAATCTAGATTTTTTAAAATGGACGGAAGGATTACTACCACAGTTTTTAATGGATTTATTTGAAATTCAGAGTGTATTTTCAGGACACTATCCTTGGGGAAGTATGTAGGATTTTTTAAATTAGTTGATGTGTTGTACAGCTATTTTTTGAGTGAATTGTCTTTGAAAAATGAAATTTTGACAAAAATCGATATTTTTGAAATATATCCTACGTAGTTCTGTAGCAAATAACATCTTCTTTCACAATTCGTTTGAATTTTTTATCTAGGTACTCATGGAAAGTAGAATTACTCATGGAAATTTAAAATAAATTATTGAAATAGACTCTAATTTTTAGTTGCTCTGGATGATGTTACCCCTTAAAGGGAGAATTGTAGACAAAACATTAGTTTTTTCCACAATAAGTCAGTTCTCGATATTTATTATAAATTGTAGTTGTTAAACATTATTCAATGGCAATAAAATTAACGCTTTTAATATCTTACAGTTTCCTGAGAGATTGTAATTTACTAAGCGGAAGTCATAGGAAAAGGAGAATATTAAATTGTTAATGTCATTTAAGACATTTCAACTTTATCAACACAACAATGGTCCAACCGATTATTAATCCACGACAACTTGAGAGTTCACCCTCTACTACTGCTACTTTAAAAAGGAAATATTATAAACCAAATACATTGACAAGATCTCTTTAGAGTGTGTTTTATTTTTCAAGGTACTCTTTGATGTCGATTGGTGGAACGTTATTGGAAATCAGTTCTTTTCAATGTTGGCTATTTTTTGATACACCAGATTCACTTTGCGTGATCGATTCATCATTTCATATAAACATATGCAGATATATTGTATTTGTATTCGAGTAGTAACTTCGGCACTCATCTATTGAATGTATCGGAAGTTGCATCGAATACAGGAAAAGACGACACACCAGACTGCACCTGAATTGCATTTTATATTGAAGCGAAAAAAGAAGGGTAAGGGAAATATAAATACATACGTGAATCTTTATACAAAATGCCTTAACAATCAAGAAAATGATTGTTGTGCATTCTTTAGAAAATACAGCAACAATATATCAAATACTTGAAACTACACAGGCACACAAAAAATAAAAAGTTGTTTGGCCGAGACACTACACTAGTCTATTTTCATGTATTTTTTCACGCTGAATCCGAATCCGAAGTCAGAATTATCAGATTGGCTCTTATTTTTGAGATAAACTCAAAAACTGCTCAGAAAGAAAAATATAATCAAAAAGTTAAAAAATTTTTGAATGTCACTGCGATAGTGTAATTCCATGTATTTTTTGTCGCTGAATCCAAATCCAAAGTCAGAATTTTTAGATTCGCTCAAATTTTTGAGATAATTGCAAAAAAACACAAATAACAAAAAACTCAAAATACTCAAAATCAGTTTTTTGGAATTATCTTCAAAATTTAAGCCAATCTGTCAATTCTGACTTCGAATTCGGAATCAGCGTGAAAAAATACATGAAAATGCACTATCGTAGTGTTTCGGCAAAAAAATTATCTGTGCCCCTAATTCAGAATTTTTATCAGTTTTTGGCAATTTTAGCTAAAAGAAATTTTTTTTTGCCGAAACATTACGTTAGTGCATTTTCATGTATTTTTTTACGCTGAATCCGAATTCGAAGTCAGAATTGACAGATTGGCTCAAATTTTGAAGATAATTCCAAAAAACTGATTTTGAGTATTTTGAGTTTTTTGTTATTTGTGTTTTTTTGCAATTATCTCAAAAATTTGAGCGAATCTAACAATTCTGACTTTGGATTCGGATTCAGCGACAAAAAATACATGGAATTACACTATCGCAGTGACATTCAAAAATTTTTCAACTTTTTGATTATATTTTTCTTTCTGAGCAGTTTTTTGAGTTTATCTCAAAAATAAGAGCCATTCTGATAATTCTGACTTCGGATTCGGATTCAGCGTGAAAAAATACATGAAAATAGACTAGTGTAGTGTCTCGGCCAAACAACTTTTTATTTTTTGTGTGCCTGTGCTATCAAATAAAAACACCTACATCATAAATGTCTTTCTTAATTTTAGTTTTAATAATTTTGATGAAAAGTTATTTTACTTACAAATAAAAGCACAGATTTGTCAATTAGCGAAAAATATGCATATATGGGAGATTCAAGGTGAGGTGATCAAAGTACAATAAATTTTTTCTCCGATTACGCTTAAACTTGAGGCATTTGTAGTACTCCTAGATGTTAATTTTTGGCAAAAATATTTTTTCATGTGGTCCAATATTTTTCGAGGGGGAGGGGGTGAAAGTTTTAGGGTTTTTGGTACACCCCATGTTTTAATAATTTATCTTTCTTAAATATGTCCAAATAAAATTTTTTTATTAATATCAGTTTCGAAAGTTTTTTTGATGTTCTTTCGGTTGATTTTATTTTTTATAAATCGAAAGCTGAGATTTTTTCTTATAAAAATACGTGGATGAAAAAATAGGACAATAATGTTTAAAAATTGATAATTAAAATTTTTTCCTTTTTTTATTTACTATTTTTAATCATTTTTTACTATTTTTCAATATTGAAACATTCTTGTCCAATTTTTTCAACTATATACTTTTGTAGGAAAAAACCTCAGCTTTAGATTAAAAAAATAAATAATCGTACCTTTCACTCAGAAAAAGTCAAATATATTTTAAAGTTTCATTTTTTTTCAAAAATGCATATTACTAATCGAAAGAGCATCAAAAAAGCTTTCAAAACTGATATTAATAAAAAAAAATTATTTTGATATTTAAGAGAAATAAAATAATTAGCAGAAAATAGCCATTTTTTCCCATTTGATCACTTCACGTGAAATTCCCCACATAGGTATATCAATAGAGTGATTTAATAAAAATAAGTAAATAAACATCTCTTAAAACTTTTTTTTACATAGATTTATTAATTAATTGAAAAAATTATGCTTTTCTAATTAAAAGTAATAAATAAATTTGATCAAAAAAGCAAATTTTAAATAAATCTTTAAAAGTATCCATCATAATTTTTTTTTACAAATCAAAAATTTAAGAAAGTAAAAAAAATATCAGTTTATAGCTCACTGAGGAGCTACCTATCATTTCTGACACAATTTTTGTAAAAAATTGCCTACATAAATCAAATTGCGATGCACCATTTGGTATCGAAAATTACATTTGATAATGGGAACGGAGCCAAGTTTATCTTTTAGTTCTTTTTTAATTCTTTCCATATTCAAATTTTTTATAGTTGCTCAATAACCAATTTCTTTTACAAAAAAATTGAAACAGGAGTTTTTTTTATATTTAATTGATATTTAACTTTAATAGAATAAAATATATTCCACACAACACGCGGCCAAGTACAAAGCTGTGTAGGTTCAAAATTATATTTTTCAACTGAATAAAAGCGGTGTCCAGGCCATTAATATTATTAAATTTACTTTAAATAAAACAATGCTCAGTATTATCTAAAGAGGGTAAAATGGGTGAGCCCTAAAAATTAATGCCAAAGAATGTCGACTGAAAGAAATGTATTTTCACAAGTAATTACTTACTGTTAATGATATTCACTCTATCGGACACCCGAAATGGACAATTTCATCGAATCACATTTACTTTAAAATATTGATGTAATTAGTCGAAACTTATAATTTTAAAGAAACATAAAAAACGTGGTTTCAAAACTACATTCAATCCAAAAGTGATCATGATACGACTTTCGTTTTGTGGCCGATCACGCAGGCGTCATTACCATGACAACGCCAGGATCGTATTTCGATAATTAGTCAGAGTGATACATGTCACTGATAGGGGTGACTAGAATTCATGAAGATAGTCAAATTTGCTTAGTCTTCATGAATTTCTTGTCCTTGGCTGAGTCATGGTTAACGGGTCTGCTACGCTTTCCCAACCAAACTCCACCGCCGCGCCTCTCTCCTATTTCCCGCTTTTCTTTCCCACTCTCCACGCGCCAGGCCCTTTGCTGTCAACGCGTTACTTCTTTAAACCTCCTGCTCGCTGGATACTTTTCCGAGCGGAGGTTTTAGTTAATTTGTTTATAAAAAAGGTTATGTTCGAGGTTTAATGTTTTTACATTCTCATCATAATGAGAAAGTATTACATTTGACCGATTTTGACCAATATCTAATTCTTGTGAATCTCCACGTTTCAAGACATCCTGATGCCAAAAAAATAGGTTTTAAACAAATGTTTGTCTGTATGTATGTATGTATGTATGTATGTATGTATGTATGTATGTATGTATGTATGTATGTATGTATGTATGTATGTATGTATGTATGTATGTATGTATGTATGTATGTATGTATGTATGTATGTATGTATGTATGTATGTATGTATGTATGTATGTATGTATGTATGTATGTATGTATGTATGTATGTATGTATGTATGTATGTATGTATGTATGTATGTATGTATGTATGTATGTATGTATGTATGTATGTATGTATGTATGTATGTATGTATGTATGTATGTATGTATGTATGTATGTATGTATGTATGTATGTATGTATGTATGTATGTATGTATGTATGTATGTATGTATGTATGTATGTATGTATGTATGTATGTATGTATGTATGTATGTATGTATGTATGTATGTATGTATGTATGTATGTATGTATGTATGTATGTATGTATGTATGTATGTATGTATGTATGTATGTATGTATGTATGTATGTATGTATGTATGTATGTATGTATGTATGTATGTATGTATGTATGTATGTATGTATGTATGTATGTATGTATGTATGTATGTATGTATGTATGTATGTATGTATGTATGTATGTATGTATGTATGTATGTATGTATGTATGTATGTATGTATGTATGTATGTATGTATGTATGTATGTATGTATGTATGTATGTATGTATGTATGTATGTATGTATGTATGTATGTATGTATGTATGTATGTATGTATGTATGTATGTATGTATGTATGTATGTATGTATGTATGTATGTATGTATGTATGTATGTATGTATGTATGTATGTATGTATGTATGTATGTATGTATGTATGTATGTATGTATGTATGTATGTATGTATGTATGTATGTATGTATGTATGTATGTATGTATGTATGTATGTATGTATGTATGTATGTATGTATGTATGTATGTATGTATGTATGTATGTATGTATGTATGTATGTATGTATGTATGTATGTATGTATGTATGTATGTATGTATGTATGTATGTATGTATGTACACTTTAAGTGTACCAAAATCTCGCCTGAGTTCGTTGGCCAGATGATTTCATCAAAAATCAACAAAATTATTCAAATTTTGAGTTTTTAAAAATTTCAAAAATTCGAATTTTTCAAAAAAAAATTTTTTTTAATTTTTTTTCGAAAATTACGACTAAAAATAAACACTTTTTTCTTTTGGCAATTTTTAATAGCGATTAAAAAAAAAAAGTTATACCACTTTTTTAAAAAAAGACAAAAAATGACAAAAACCCATGAAAAATGGGTAAAATGCAGAGCAAAATCACTTTATTTTGAAAAAATGTGTTTAAATATGTATTATTTCTCTTTAAACCACCTTCAATTAACATAAATTAAAGTAACTTATTCATAATTTTCAAAACATTTAAATATTTTTGACTTTTTTTGAATTTTTTTAATTAAAAATTTGTTTTTACATTCTCATCATAATGAGAAAGTATTACATTTGCCCGATTTTGACCAATATCTAATTCTTGTGAATCTCCACGTTTCAAGACATCCTGATGCCAAAAAAATAGGTTTTAAACAAATGTTTGTCTGTATGTATGTATGTATGTATGTATGTATGTATGTATGTATGTATGTATGTATGTATGTATGTATGTATGTATGTATGTATGTATGTCTGTAGACAAAAAAGTTGTCTCGACGATAACTTGAGTAAATTTTAATTAATCGACCTCAAATTTGGTATACACTTTAAGTTCACCAAAATTTCGCCTGAGTTCGTTGGGCAGACAATTTCGTCAAAAAACAACAAAATTATTCAAATTTTTAATTTTCAAAAATTTTTATTTTTCAAAAAAAAAATTTTTTCATTTTTTTTTTTTGAAAAATATGAGTAAAATGAAACACTTTTTTATTTTATCATTTTTTGATTGGAGTGAAAACAAGAAAGTTACTCATTTTTTTATAATTTTTAATTTTCAAAAATTTTCATTTTTCAAAAAAAAAG